AAAAAAAATTGTTCCCTAAATTTCTTAATTTTAAGGAAGGTGCTAAACTTACTTATGACCTGTTTCATTTCTTATTTTGCTGACTTTGACTCCGTACATGTCGTACATGTGGTTCATACGTTTATAGGCCAAGCTCGTTTCAAGGACCCCCGGTAGTCTCCCTTGACCTCACTTGGCCTGCGTTTTGTAGGACAAGTTGACAGCTTTTTGTTTTAAGATCTCCAATTTCTTCACCCAGTGTGCATGTGAGTTGAACGATGTCGGTATTGAAAGCTGTTGTTAGTTTTTATCGAACGGGTGAGGAAAGGCCAAGCGAAAGATACAAGGCAAGACTCAAAGTCCAAGAAGAGCATCGGACACTTTCAGCGTTCAAGAAAAACGTTATTGACTTTCTTGGTCTTAACGAGCAAGCCAGGAAGTTTGGTCTTGGGCAATTTGACCTTAAACTTTACCGACTCGCCAAAATCAACGGCAAGATAGAAAATTATTTTTTATCGACCCAGCAGCAGCTAGATCTGGAACTACCCCTGTTGCTTGACTCAGATAGTGAAAGAGAGCTGAACAGTAAGTACTCTTAAAGTTATGAATTTTGTACGTGACTACTAGGATGCCGCGTGGCAAGAAATTTTTGCGGGTCTTTTATCTTGCGGATTGCAGAAACTAAATTAGCTCCCCACATGTTTGGGGAGCTAATTGTTTCGATAGCGAAAGACTGCTTTTCTTACTGAGGATTAATATTTGTTATTTTCAGGAGATCGCGAGCTTGAAATACCTGAGTAAAGCAACTAGCAGAGATGTCACTGTTTGCAAAACGCTTACTGTTGACCACTAAGGCATGGGTCGCACTTGGCAAAGTTTGGTGTGAATGTGGTTACTTTGGTGTAAAAATCAGTCATGGGGCACATTGCCTAATGCGACCCTAACTTTTCCAGTTCGCAAAAACTTTGAAAACCGGCCAAAACATCAAAGACGCCGTAGTGCCTGGGTGGGGCAGGTAGATTTCGGAAAACTCGGACTAAGCAATAGCTATCACAGCGGTAACTATCATCGCTTGTCAGTAAACAGCAAACGACTCTACTGGTCGCGGAACTGACCAGGCATATGGCGCTCGAAGTAATCTTCGCTGACGTCGATTTCTCGCTCTCATCATAGCGGCAGTCAAAATAGTTAATCAGGCGTTAATCCATCTTTCATAGATCATACGAAAGACAAAAAAGTGCTCTGATTTAACTGAATAAGAAGAATAAGCATCATCGTGATCGTTATTAACAATGCCTTAACGGGACGCATTTTTTTAACGTTTGTTTTCCCTTTTCAGCTCACTGCTCTCTCCCCATAGCACGTCGATAAACGTGTGTCTGGTTTATCAAAGTGTCATCACTGACATTTTTTTCACCTAGTGCGACCCTGATAGTTGAAACCAAAAGTTTGCTTTCCGGTTGCGGTTTCAAATTTTGTGTGTTTTTTTTGCTGGTTGAAAACTTTGCCCAAGTGCGACCCATACCTTAAGTATTGAAACGCCCCTTGGGGAATACTAATTTCTACAGTCCTTCGCTATCGTAAAAAACACTAGACCCTGAAATTTATTTTTTGTTTTTGTTTTTGTTTTTGTTAATAACTGCGTAAAATAATATTAGAAGTGGTATGATTTATCAAATATTAAATGTTTTCAAAAGAATAACTCATTTAAGCCTGAGATGACCATAACACCTTTATTTTGCTTTAAAGATTAAAAAAACACAGGTTTATTAATATTTAACCTTTTGGAACCAAAGAAATTAATTTTTAACTTTTTTGTTAACCGTAACTGTAAAAAATTAACCGATAGCCATAAAAGAGCCAAAATTTTAGCCGATAACCGTAAAAGCCAGCACCCCATTGAGACCCTCAGATAACAATTGCACCCTGGAGAGATGCCAGCAGAAGATCATATCTAAAATGTAGGTCGTTTTTAGGGGGAAAGGGGCAAACAGCTTCTTATAGTGTGAAAATAATTGGCTTGTATGTTTCGTCTAAGTAACTTCACACAGATTAAAATAAGTCAATTTATTACACAAACAAAGGATCGTTGTACTTCGGCCACTCTGAAAGAACTCGGTCGTGGAAGCTTTTTCACTAACCGATGTAAACTGTTTCGTGATACTTAAAAGCATAATCTACTCTTGTGATTTGCACAGAAGAGTGTACGCTGTCAGACTAGCTCTCGCATTCTTCATTCAACACAATTTATACTCCTCGCCAGCCTTAACATCCCGTGGTCAATCTTGAACCGTCCAACTCGATTGCCTTTCATAGTTTCTCTAAACTTAATGCCCATACTCTTTTTCTATGAAGAGGCTCTTGGTTAGAAGATCCACATCATTAATACATTTGTACCTCCTTCCCTCAATTCAAGTCCACCAATTGAAGCTGTGGGCCTGTTTTACCTCAATCTCGATGTTCCCGTAGTGCCAAATTCCCCAAGTTCAACATCCTTATGACGAGCTTGGCTACCATTGTTGTGAAGGTTAGTGTCCCTCTCGATGCTGGTTAGGGTGTTTACCATTCTCCTTGTTTTGTGTCCTCAAAGTCTGAGGGTTCTTGATACTCTGCAATAAACACCACTATGAGATAACAACCTGATGAATTAAGCACTTGTAAACGCCAAGACGATAATCTGATGGAACGTTAACCAAAGAATTACTCCTAAAACTATTCTGACCATGGAAGCCGGATGGACCAAGGAGGTAATCAACTCTTCATTCAGGTTGACTAAACTGGCGTTTTTCGTGTTATGATTTTCATTGTAAGAGTGTTGAACAAACCATGATCTGGAAGGGAGGGGGGGGGTGGGGGCGAACGATTTAAGCATTACCAGAGTTTTAAAGTACGAAAAAATTACATCAGTAATTAAAGTAAAAATTATTCTTCCCTGACGAAAAATGTATTTCTAAGTTAACCGTATATTTTGGCGAAAATCATACTCACCCTTTCACAAGAAATTTTCGCGACACCACAATATTGTGAATGAGATGGTGCAAACATCATATACTGAGAAAACCAAATGACCCAAAAGGAGAAGCGGGTAAATTATTTGTGCCTTTTATCCCATATAAAGGCATTCATAAACAAAAAAATAAGACAAATGGTGGTAAAACGTACGTCGATTTCACCGCTGACATGATCAGTACAGTCTTCGGTCACTTGACGGTTAAGACAGAAACTTCGAGTACAAGTATAAGCTGTTTTAGGCAACGTGAAACCGCAATACGATCTTGATGAGGTAGAGTCCCACCCATATGTTTTTGTTATTTTTGACGGTGTTGTACCATTCACAAAATTGCTTCATCTAGTTCAAATAATGAAGAAAAAAAGACCTCCAGGGGAAGACAAACTCAAAGATGCAAAATTTCAGTAATGCTTGCGTTTCGGGACAAAGTAAACATTAATCTTCGTGCCCCTCACAATCACGAAATAGATGTGCCGGAAAGGAAAGCCTGGCAAAGTGTTTTTTTATAATAAGCATTTATGGTTGTCTTTTAAGATCAAGGAAAGGAGAGGATTGGCGTAGAATGGTTGGAAGCAAATCACAATGAAGGTCGCTTATTTCTAGAGTCACTTAAGTAAGACTGGACTTGCAACATTAGCACATATAAAGACCCTTTGAATTCTGATAACACCTGATAAAGAAAACATTGATTCCTTAGGATTTATTAAAATCTGTTGGCTTATTGACAATTCTAGTCATGGAAACTATATACATTTGAACTATGCTTAAGGGTTTAAGTGTTCGATTTTGTTTTGTTTCGTTCTGTTGTTTATTTTTTTCTCACCAGCTTGGCGTTACTTATGACGCCCAAAAAATTTTTTTTGGGTTCACATCGATTCTTATAATTTTTTCTTGATCCCTTCGATGACTGAAGTCAGTTTGTTTACTCAAAGATGGAAAGTTGATTGAGTAAATAAATTCATAATGAAAACCGACCTGGTTGATGCATAGCCGGCAAACTGTTTCCGGTCCCCGCTTAAAATTGGTTCCAAAGAAAAGAAAAAATAATATCTTTTTCTGTTTTCTTAGTTGTTCTATTCATTACTTTTGGTTTTAACAAAAGTTGCAATTATCATAATGTCTCCAAGGCAGCTTAATATCTATCCAATCCGTTTACGAGTATACGCAGCTGGAGTTGAAAAGCTATCAAAGATTATTTTCGTTATTCGTTCGATTCCAAAAGTGAAATTTTACCCCCACTGGTTTTTCTGGATGGTTCTGTCATAATGGCATTTTTTCTAACGATTTGCCCCATAAGCTTTCGTTCTCAATCGTCTTCGGTTAAACTCTCCCAGATTGCGACGAAATGATTATTCACAACATAACAGAAATTTATTCCATTCGCGTCAAGGGATTAGCCAACCAAACAAGATTTTTGAAGGCGAACTACAAGATTTAATCAATGACGACAATCTATGATCTCTAAACGAACAAAGGTAATAAAGCGGTAGAACTCCTTTGGTTAAGCAAACATAACAATTTCATTACAGAGGTGAATAACTCACGCGAAGACGATTTCGTGTAAAAGGGAACCACACATTGACAAAAAACTCGAGCGATTGGCTTGAACATGGCTGTGACGGATCAAGATATCTTTTCGATGGTTATTCTGGGCATCTTTTCCCTGTTCATCGTCATATCAAACTCCTGCGTATGCCTCTTGGTCATCTTGAAGAAAGCTCTACGAACCACTACGAATTGGCTTATGGTGTCACTCGCTGTATCAGACATATTAACAGGAGGAGTTTTGCTGCCTATCTACCTCATCAAGCCATTTTCGATTGTAACAGGTTATTTGGTGAGCATAATATTACTCTCGGGTGTTGCAAACCTATGCGCTGTAACGTACGATCGATATGTTGCAGTAATCAAGCCACTGGAATACCCGTATCGGGCACCAAAGATACGAAAAAGGGCTCCTATACTTTCGTGGTTACTTTCATTGATTTACTCTTTACTGCCTCTGTTTTGGAACACTAATGTCAGCCTCACAATACATAAGGTTTACATGATTTGTTTACAGAGTTTTGGTATTATTGCGCCATATGCTTTAATGACTGTCGCATACGTGCGAATGTTTATGCAAGTTCGAAGGGGTATGACAAAGAACGAGCATCTGAGATCTTTCAGAGTGCACAATCATGAGGGAAAAAGAATGTCTTCAGACGCTAAGGTGGCAAAAGTGTTTGCCATATTTGTTTTAGCTTTCCTTCTCTGCTGGCTGCCAATCATCTGCATAACAACTGCAAAAATTGTTAACAGAGATGACGTCATCCCAGAAGCCCTCAGCGTTGCGTCTTTGTTTACAGTGGCAATATGTTCATTGCTGAATCCACTCGTGTATACTTTCCTCAAACCTGATTTCAAGAGGGCCTTTTGCAACTTCTTTCGAACGCGTTCTTCCACAAACACGGTTTTGTACGGGCGAGGTATCTCGTCAGAAGGAGGAATACGACCTAAAATATATGTCCAACAGAAAAATTTAGATCAGGCAAAAAATTATCCAGTGGAAGATTTGTCCCAGCTTTCATTGGATTGTAAATGAGTTTATGTACGGCATCACTAGACTCTTGTAATTCCTAGAATGTCAGTTTTATAACACAATTTCGAGCTTTTTTTTTGAAGCTCGGTATTTTTATCACAAAATACTAATTGTTTACTCCTTTTTAAAAGTTAACTGACAAAAGCAAAATAATTTTTTCATCTAAATTTCTTACATTTCGTTAAATCGAAGTTGGCTGCCCGGATGCAACTCGCAGAGAGCTTCTTGCAGAAAACAAACCACATCTCCTTGTTGAAATATTATTAAACTTATTAGAGGCGACGAAGTGTTTTCCAAAATTAATCTAGCGGTGCACTACAGACGTTTCCCCGACAAAGTCTGTGGGGCTACTGTTCCCCCTCCCCCCCCCCCACCTTGCTCCGGTGCATTTGACTCCAACAGCTCAAAGATCACATGGCTAAGGCATTATGATAACGTTAGGATTCCTGGAAATATCAGAAAGGATGAAAATGTTTGCTTTGCCTTTGAAGAAGTACGCCACCTCTTCAAATTATTTTCAGAATATATTGGAGTTTTTTCCCCCAATATTGATTAATACTAATTAAAAAGGGGCTTGGTTCTCAGTTTACAGAACGAGTAAACCTAACCTAATATTACTGATCTATTCGAGTCTTGCAATATTTCTTTTACCCGCTGTGCCATTAAAAGCGGGTACATCAATGTGATTAGTTAAAGAAACTCTCGATTACTAATAATTTTTTTTTTTAATTTTATGTCGATAAGTTGATCATTTTTCCAATGATAAAAAGTAGGGTGGCCGGCAACACTTACAAATAAAAAAGAGCACATTAGCCGATATGCGGTTGACCATTGTGAATAATGAAAGTCAAGGTGTGCAATGTAAATGTCCATTGACAATTAAATTTTTGAAGGCATCCAGAAAACGTATCTCGTTTAGGTCTTATATATTTACAGCTGTACACTCGTTTTGCGATATTTCTACTTGACCAAGAAGCAGTATTTGATGTCGTTTTTCCTTAATATCATCCAATTTGTTTCAAACCGAACACAGAGCAATTCTTTCTCATTAAAAGCGAACGGCTGAACCCTTCTAACGTCGTTCATGATTTTCTCACCGGACTAAGGAATCAATACATATCAAGCTAAGGCTAATAAGTTCGTAATACTGCTTTGGTTTTAGCAAGAAGTACTGCGATGAATTACACGCGCGGAGCCTGTTTTTATCCGTGAGCAGAAAAATAAGACTCTTTAAAGCCTCCTGCTGAAATTAAAGGGCATCGATACCTCTGAAAGCTTAGTCTCCTTTGCGAGGCTTGCCGCGAAAGCGAGTAAGCACCCCTCGAGGGCCGTATGTTTATCCATGGGATGAAAAGTAATACTTTTCGGACCCTTTGCCGATATAAGATAAGTGCTGATTCCTATAAAAACTTAAATCCCAATACTTCTGTGGCCATGGCAAGATTTGCGGTGAATGAAAACGAATTACTCGAGTGAAACCTGTTTGTCTAGTCTTAATAATTCCGGAAATTTCTGATCTGCTATTTGCGGGGAAGCGTTATTAGTTTTAACGTATGGCAAAAGTCTTCATAGAAAAGAGTTTGTTTGTGAAGAGACATCGGAAAAATTCATAATCCTCGATTATGGTGCTTGAATTAGTTGTGAGCTACGACGTGATTCGTCAAATAGTTTGTATTATTAAACCGTAAAATGATACGGCCGGCTAAAGATGAAATGAAACAGTCGTGATGAATATGGTTTGTCCCACATTAGCCTGTGAAAGGGATTTTTCTCAAATTAAACTTTTTTCGGGTTTGACAAGCTGTTGAAATCTGTTGTGGAATATAGTTAGCCAAATAAACAAACAGCCATGACTCTCTGATTGTTTCAGCCCAAGATCGTAGTGATGGCAATTTAGATTAGTGCTTCTAGCAGCGAAGCGAAAAGTCTA